TTTTGCAGCAAAAACTAAGAGGAGTTCAGTCTAGATCTAAACCATTCCTAAGAAGCAATACTTTTAAATGTCTGTGAGATATTACCAGAACCAATATGGACTTTCCTTCTGCGTTTCAGTTTAAAAACAGCAAGGGAGAAACAAAATACACAGGATGAATTGGGATAGTATTGATCAAGCGATCAATTATGAGCCAGATCTCAAATACCAAAGCAATTTGTTCCACAGTTTTGAATCAGTCTTTGAATGAGTTGAGCAAAGCCCAAAATATCTTTTCCTCAACTACGAAAGGATGAAATCAGCCCACACTGCACCTTAAATTCACTCACTGCTAGTAGTGTGCAGGGGCAGGATTTGTGCACTAAGTGTGGACTGCTGAGCACCTGGCAAAGACTCTGTGACACCTAACACCTCTGCCTGCTCCTCCTCCGCTATGGAGAGGCCATCAGCAGGTGGGAATTGATGAGTTTCTTTGCAATTGCTGAAGCTGAGATCATTATAACACTCAATTATAACACTGCAAATCCTGAGGTGAAAAGTACATATTAAGTGAACGATTATTCCTTGGAAACCCTACATTATGTTTTATTATGTTTTCTAACAATTCCTGAATGAGTGAGGTCTTATGACTTTTTTTTTTTTTTTTTTTTGGCACAAGGGCTCCATTTCTTCAGGCTGACACATCCAAGACACTACAGAAATTATCAAAACAAGAAACTGCTGTTCTTCCCACAGACCTGCCACTAACTCCAGCCATTCCTTTCATGATTGAAGATAGTCAAATGGATTCTGCATTTCCTCACAAATGAAAAGAAAAATGTGAGTACATACTAGTAATTCACCACGAACTTATATACTTTTTCCCCTCACAAAATACTTTTTCTTCAACCTTTCCTGGTTTAAGCACTAAATAAATTTGCAATGGGAGTCATGAGGGAAAAATAAATAAAAAAAAGAGACAAAATGCCCTATGGAACATGTGAAATCAACCACAGAAAAATTATTTTAAGGGTTGAAGTGTACCTGAATCATGTTTCAATAGGTATCACCTGATTCTACCAAATGGCCATCAAGGTCAAGGACCATCAAAAAAATCAAAGCAAGGACTTCTCCTAGGCAAGAATTTTTTTCCTTATTTTGAAATAAAGTTCAGTGCTATGGTCAACATACTTGCTTTTTACGAACACTTATTTATTTTTGAGAAAACCACTTCAGTTTAGCTGTTAAATATTGAATACTCCTTTTCCTACTTCAAGGCTCACAAAAGCATATTTCACAATTAATATTTACATGCTTTTTATGCATGAGCCCTCTTATTTATACAGCTCCCTATAAATCATATAAATGAATGACACAAAGGACCAATTAGAGCTTTTTCTGCACCAGGGTAGAATGGCACTTAGATATTTGTGCAGTCTCATTTTAATGGTTTCAGGTTCCACAGTTCCCCTGAGGAGATTATTTGAGAGCTTACTGCAATTTATTCTCATGATAGCCAGCTTCAACATTTCCTTTTCCAATTGTATCATAATACACTTACATCCAACATAATGTATCACACATTTTCTCTTCTTGTGAAGCAAGGTAAATTCCATAAATCCTGCAATAAATTCGTCACCTCTTCTTATATCATTATAAGTCCTTATTAGCTGAATTATGAAGCATATGCCAGTCCTGATAACAATATCACAGTTATGTCTCTTTAGTGATTTGTACAAAAAATTAGCTATCAAACCCCAATACTATTGACATGCTTTATTCAAACTCCAAATTAATTCCCAAAAATTATACATATTATTAAATAATTCTATGTTTCCATATATTATAAGGATAAAATACTGCCCCTTTTTTAAGCATGCTTGCAGAGTCTTAACCCCACCCTCCTAGGGTCATATAATAAAATTCTAGGAGCAAGTTTTATCATGTATTTCTGGAAGGATCCAAATAAATTTTCCAGTTCTCTGCACAGTAAGTGGTATCTTCATGTAAGTGTGGCTTACCCTGCCCTGACATGTGAGCTGATCCCTTCACCCCTGTTTATCAAATGCTAAACTGGTTTACTTTCAGACTCTCTGCCTGCCCTTCCCAATCAAGTCCTGCCATAGCATTGCCCCTGATCTAGGGCTCATGCTCAGTTCCTTCACTGGGTGAATTTTTTTTTTCACAAGAAACAGGGCTGACATTCATCTTTTTACAATTTCAGATTAAAGGGACTACAGAGAAAGGGAAACACATTTGTGCAAATTTAAGACAGCTAGGCTGTACATTTTTAAAGTTATCTGTCTTCAGTTATACTGATCACAGCAGAATTTTGAAGAAAACAAATGAGAACCAAAAACCAGGGAAGCGCCTCTTAACCTCCTAATAGTTCATGTAAGTACATATAGACTCTAAAACAACCTAGAAGATGGTCATCACATTACAATTTATGGAATATTATTCCTACAGAACAAATGAGTTCTATAAAACTACAAAATCTCCTGGAAACTCTGTCAGGTGTTACAAGATGTGGTCAATTAGAAAATAATAGACTAAAGCAATGAAAGCAGTAATAAAAAGTTAGAATACTTTTTATGCACTCAGTAATACAGAATTAGTCCTCTTGCAGCAAACGTTTAAGAGATAAAGGATCAGTCAGGTGCCAAGTACTTCACCAGATTTTACAACTGAGGAAGGTGCTACAAATACTCAAAGCTCTGGTGCGACTAATAATAATATCAGTTCGTTGTTGGAAGTTGGCTTTAGAAAATGGATAAAACACAACGAGCAGAAACAAAGAAGTCTGCTTGCATCTCACAGCTGAACCCGTTCCAGTTCCCTCATTGCACCTGGTGTCCCACACCTACTGGATGGGGAAGCAGCGTGTGTGCTGGAGCGAGCATTACAATGGGCCGTGTGCTGGGTGGGCAGTGGCTGCCACCTCCTGCCTGCTGACCTGCCAGGACAGCTGTTACCGCCTGATGAGTCAGGAACATCCCTGAGGGAAGCTGCAATGAACTCCTCCCTGGCCACGTGGCATGTGGGCCCTGTTAGAGAGTCTCTGCTTCCTTCTTCAAGAAATCTGTCGTTTATTATTGAAATCAGCCCCGTATGGCTGAACTAGCAATGGGCTTGAAGTCACTGGAGAGGAAAAGAAGGAGAGGGAAGCCACATCATTTGGAATGCAGCTAAAATGCTTCAGAGAGTTTAAAGTTAAAAGGGATTACTGGATCACACACTGACCACAGGCCAGTAAGTCTTACTACTAGTCCCAAACTGAAGTAAGGATCTTGTTTGTGATTAAAACCATTACAACTGCATTAGGTTATCTCAGCTCCCAACCGCTGATTCCTATTCTATGTTCTTTTCTACCATCTTAAAAAGCTTTAGCATGCCAAATCTTGCAGATATTTTTGACAAATAGATAATGCTTTTAAATGTATTTTTGTAAGACATTTCCTCCAGTGCTGTAGTCCTTTGACAGGTCTTTTCTGCATTACTTGATCTTTAATGTCAAGAGCCACGCACCTTGTTCTACTATCAGTCTCATTAGTACACACGGTAATCCAGGCAGTACATCCAACAGTCATACTGGACACATTGCACTGGGACCTCACCTATAACAGTTTGCTTGACGTGGTTTTTAGATGACTTAGTTTCTCAGACCTAAGCTCTCATTCCAGAGGCACGGCTTGCATTCTTGGAAAATTTGGCTTATACCTTTGGCTGTAACAGCCTGTTTGAAAGTGTTTTACTAAGCAGTCCAGATGACATTGCAGTTGCTCTCACAGTGGTTTACCAAGTTACCATTTAGCACATCCATGAGCCTGCAAAACCTTCCAACCCCCAAACCCACAAAGACTAAGCTCTGAAAAATCCTCTTTCAAAACTCAAAAGCAATTTCTCTGTTTGGCACATTAGCCATTCAAAAGCATTAGCCATTAGAGGTATATTTGGTATTAACCACAGGACTCAGAGATTATTTTGCAGTTCTTAGCCTAACGATTAAAAACAGTAGCCATGATGTTTCTGCAGTTACTTTTATCAACTTACCTGCAAATGTCACTGAATAAGGCTATCAGAATTGTTTTATGAGTCAAGTGAGCTGATTTCTATTAAGGATATCTTATCAAATCGTTTACATATTTTCCCTGTGGCTGATGTTAAACAGTCGAGAAGAGCACAGGTCACCCTGCTTGGCCTTCTGAAAGCGGGCAGAACACGAGCGGGCTTGCTTGCTTTATTTCCCGAGAACATATTTTATATTTAAAGATTTATTAAACCCCAAACTTAGCTACCTCCTCAGCCAGCTCGGCCGAGATCCCAAGGTGCGAATTAGCCAGACTTCATTAAAAACTGTCTCGGTTCGCTCGGAGCAGCGGTTTCCCCGCGGACCTCCCCAGCGCCAGCCATGTGATGCCAGCACAGCACCTGTGTCCTCCTCTCCCAGGTACGGCGCCGATGCTCGTTCAGCACCACCGGCCCCGCGCCGCTACAGCCGCGGCACCTCAGGATCACCTCCATCCATCCCGGAGCGACTCACACCCCTCAACCACCCCTTTTTATTTCCCTCGGTTTTGGTTTTTTGTGTTTTTTTTTTCCAAATTCTCCTCCGCCCTCTACGCCCAGCAGCAACCTCCCCTCCACCCCACCCCGGGGTTTGAGCGAGGTGCCAGCCCCCACCCCAGGTCCCCGTGGCCGCCCCCGCGACAATCCCCGCTCCCACCGGCGATGCAGCGCTGCCACGGGCACCGGGAACAGGCGGGCTGCGCCCCTCGTCCCACCGGGCGGGGCCGCGCTCCCGGCATGCCCGAGGGGGCCGCTCCCAGGGTGGGTAGGTGGGTGGGCGGAGGAAGGAGGGCGGGAGGGTCCAGGTCCGCTCCCCTCCCGCCTTACCCCCGCCGCTTCCCATTCCCACCCGCTTCCCATTCCCACCCGACGCGGAAACCGGCGCCCAGCCGAGCCGCTGTAGCCGGCGCGCAGGGCGCATGCGCGGCAGGGCGGGGGCCGGCGTCTAGTGGGGAGCGCTCCGGCCGCCGGTGCCGCCCGCGCTGCCCGCCCGCTCTCCCGCACTCCCTCCCTCCCTCCCGCCTGCCGCTGCCCGGCCACCGGCCGTCACCGCGCAGCGCCCGCACCCTCTGCCGCGCCGGCTCCTGCCCCGCCATGAAGTTGAGCAGCCGGGGCCGGGGATGCTGCGTGGGCGGCAGCCGGGAGCGCGGGCCGCCGCCGCGGAGCCCCTTCGTGCACCAGCTGCGCTTCAGCCCCCTGGAGAAAGCCAAGGTAGGGGCGTGGGGGGCTCCCCCCTCCCCACCCTTCCTCCTTCCGCGCCGTGCCCCTGGGGCGCTCCGGCCGGCGGGCCGCGTCCTGCGGCGGGCGGGGGCTCCCCGCCGGCGCTTTGTGAGCCCGGGGCCGCGGGGAGCCGGAGGAGCCGGTGCCTCTGTGTGTGCGGGGCGGGCGGGGGCTGCGGGCGGGCAGGGCGGCGGCGCCGTGCCCGGGGCGGGCGGGCGGCGGGGCTGGGGCGGCCGTGATGCTGTAGTGCCTCAACTTGTGCTCCGATGCCTTCTTCAGAAAAAACCTGTGGGTTTTTCTTTTCTTTTTTTTATTTTTTTCTTTATTTTTTTAGTGGGCTTGTTTTGCGTTTGGGAGGTTCGGGGTTTTGGTTGTTTGTTGGTTTTTTTTGTGTATGTGGTTTTTTTGTTTGTTTTGGGTTTTTTGTTTTGGTTTTTTTGTGGGTTTTTTTCGTTTTTTTTAATGGGGGGCGGAGGAGCGGCCCTGCGGAGCTCCTGTTTTCGACTGTCAGCTTGAGGTATTAACCCTGTGGGCCGAGGCATCCCGTGCAGCCCAAGTCTGGCCCCTGGGTAAATAGTCCCTGCCCCGTAATTTAGGTATTGTGCAGGTAGCGGGTGAGATGACAGGAAGCAGTATTAAAATGCAAATTTGCAGTTGCACGGCTTCTTATTTGGTTGGTTGGTTGGTTGGGGTTTTTTCCACCCCCTCTGTGCCTCAGTCTCACTCGCCTCGCATAGTGAGCAGTAGGTAGTTGGGTATTCAAAGGGCATGGCCCTTGTCTTAGGCTTTCGGTAAGATCTGGGTCACTTGCTGGAGAAAGAAATACCACCAGAGGCTCACCTTATGAGGGGCTGGCCATTTCTGTGACTTCCATCACTGTAATACTCAAGTTCTTCAAAGCTGCTGTTTCAGGAGTGTAACAGCGTGTGGTACCTATCGACATTGGGAATTAAGATCCACTAATACTGAACCTTTTGGATCAAGGTGCTCTAGATCCAACTTTGTTTTAATTACATTTTGAGTGAAGTTTGTTGTTCAAATGCCCTGTTACTGTCCAGATACTTAACACAAGATATGTATGCCCTGACTTAAAAAACATTGGAATGTACCTCATGTTACATCTGTGGCAACCAAGGAATTCATAGTAGACTCCAGTAGAAAAGGTTTTTAGTTTTATGATCAAGTTTCCCAGAATGTATTCAGTGGTTGCTGAGAAATTGTTGCTTGAGCGGAAAAGGGAGAAAAGGTTTATGTCATTTGCTGCATTTAGTTTATACCTAGGGCTTCCTCAATAAATTGCATAGTTGTAATGATTTCCTTTCTATGTTCCTGTACTTTGTTCCTGAAGTCATGTTTTCTGTGTAATTAATGAAGTAGAAGTCTTTCGGGGAGGAGAGAGAAGCAAAGATAGCATGTATTCATATGGACTAGAATTGTGTCCAGTTAAAACAGTATTTCATTTTGCAGTGTTAGTGTGTTTTTTAACTGTTGCTTTCTACCTGGTTATTTACAAGAAATTTTGAAAATACTGCTCTGAGAGCAGAGTATCAGTTTTGCAGGTTTTGCAGTGTTGAGTCTTATAGGAGCTATCAGCATTGCTGATCTGTTCTTAGTCCTGACAGACCTTTAGGCGTTTCGTCAGTGAAATGACTGTTTGTAGAACATACCTACCTTCTGTGCAGGCTGTCCTGTATATCTGTATGGGATGTGAGCATTGCCAATGGACTTCAAGGATGTAAACCGCAGGATGCGTTTAAAGCTCTGTAATTTTTGACTGTGGACAGTCCAAAGGAATAGCTGCCCTGCCAAAGAACGTGTCTTGGTCTTGCTTTTTAAGTGAGTTATATTTTACTGATATACAGCAGCACTGAGTTCTTTAACCCAGCCTTTCTTGCAGTCTTATTTTTGCAGTTTTATGTGAGGAAAAAGCACGTAAGCTGACAAACAGAACTGTGATAGATTTTCTTCTTTGCCTTAATCGTGCTTTTCCAGCCTCTTCACCAATTAAAAGCTGTGCTTGAGATAGAAGCTGTTAAAGAAGAGCTGTGGAACTGTTCCACTTATGAGAAATGCTCCCAGAAGAAGTGCTCCCCAGGGTGAATTATGTTCTCTTCCATACAGTCCTGGCCAGCTACAGAGGGTTCGGTGTGAACTATTACAGCTGAACTCACTTCCTGTTCAGCTGTAGGCACATACTGTGTCACAGGTTTTTTTGTCTGTCCTGTGAATCTAACGGGGGACTTCTGGGATTGCAGAGCCTATCGAGGAAAGTTAGGAATGCAGGTACAAGAAATAGGAAGCACAGGGAACTGGGAGACAAGGCTGCTTTGTCTGAAGGTGTGTTGTCTGTTGCTGATGGTCTGCCAGATAGCCCCGTTATCTTGCCTACAACCTCGTCCTGCAAGAGGTTAGACTAGCTTTCTTATTTATTAATACAACTCAAAAGTAAATGCATTTTATCGTGTTTCAGTCTGAGGCTGTGGGAGTGAATGAAAGATAGAAAGTAAGAGGGCAGAACAGCCATGAAGAGGATGAACAGCAAAAAGAAATCCTTTTGACTGTGAAGGAACTGTTCACGTCATCTTTTATTGACTTTATAAAATTTATAATCTGGGAGATTACAGAAGCATAAAAGCAGTAAGGCTGTTTCAGAACTGAATCTCATTCATCCTGTAGAAATGATGGCTATTTTACTCTGATCTGAGGGTGACAGTAGAGGTCATTCTTGAAGCTACCTGTTTTATTTTGGTACTGTAATAAAAAGATCTTTTCTGAGAGGAAGACAGACATGATTTCATTAACCATGAATTTCTTCTGGACACCAACAGGTAAATCAAAGCTCTTAATTCTAGTTACTGCTACAGAACAGGCAGAAGCATTACCAGAGCTGAGCTGTCACTAAGTGTCCATAGCTTTGTTTCCCTGCTGCTTAAAAACACAGTATGATGCCATTTTCCTTGCTTCCAGTGTTTCTGGCCCTTTTGTTTCACCAGTGCTGGCATTCATTTGGTGCCTTGGTGAGCTGATTTGGCTCATTAAACCCAGCATATCATTGTGTTTTTCTGTGTTCTGATTGTTTTCTTTTGCTGGGATGGCTTTTCTTCCCCCACTAATGAGCTATATTCTCTGGTTGCAAGTTCGCATAAGTGCTAGAACTGACTCAAGGGGAGGATTGAGGAGGGAGTGAACAGAACCACTCTCTTTAGCAGCAGTGATCTCTTAGCTTGGTTTAGTTGCACATAAAAATTTCTACTCCTGTGTTTGTTTCCATGAATGTGTCAGTTGGGGAATTTGGAGAGTGGGAAGGAGAATTGCTGAGGGATGAAATCGCAGCTCCTTCAGTGCCATCTTTGGAGAGTTGTGCGATCAGGATGATAATAGTGAGGAAGTAAAAGTGTGGGGCAATATGTAATCTATATCTAATATGTGTAAAAGAAAAATCAAAACCTTTACTATGTCAAATACTATTTTCTTTTTTTCAGTATGTTACAATTACTTTATAACAAGTCACAGAAGTTTTGTTGTGAATAAACTGATTTTTAATGATATTTCTCACTGTATCACTAATTTCAAAGCTTCTCTGTGCATGAGAAGTATGATAGTGGATTTCAAGACAGGAAACAGACCCACAGAAATAGAAACAAGGGTACTCTCTGATTCCCTTGCTCTGTGTGTCCTGAAGAACTTAAGTCCTTTCTAAGTCCATATTTTACACCTTCATCATGAGTTCACACTCAAATCTGAATGCAGAGTCTCTAAACAAGGAGAACACATGATACCTTTTTAGTTTAAGTGACTTGCCTTACATCAGATTGAAGCCATTCTGATGGCAGAGTGGAGATCAGTTTCCCAGAGCAGCTTTCTGTTACAAGCTGTAAAACCATCCTCTCCCTTCCTGCTGTCAATGGGTCTTTCACAGTTTACGCTGCAACTTCTGAAAAAGCAAGTTGGATCCTGTAGACTAGCAAATGTTAAATAAGCTATAGTCAAACCCCTCTTGAGAATTTTGATCATGAGCTGAACCTCCCAAAGTACAACTCCAGATGGACCTTTAGGGTTTTTTAAATGTATCTCAAAACACAACTGTTTACATATGACTTAACAGACAGAATTTGTAATTTTAATAGGAGACGTGTCTGGGTGAATGTCCTAAATATGTAAAGATGTGATCTTCAACATAAGATGTCTGTACAAGGTCATACCAGAAGTGTGTATCTCTTGCATTCTGATCTCTGACAATGGCCAGTGGGGACAGGATCTTATCCCTTTTCTGTCTAACACATGCACTATTACTGTACTGTTTTACAGGATAGAAGCTTTCTTTCACAGGAAGATGTCTGAATAAAGATGTAGACTGAACTAGTTTTCAAATGCTAGTTTCTTTCATGATTCCTAACCTCCTTCAGAGGCTAAGTATGTATCTCTCTCCTACCAAATTTCTTGTGTGGACAGGTACTGAACTACCACCTCCTAAAAAGAGTCTGGTGTCATAGCCAGACCCTGCACACTTGGTGCACTTGCTTCTTGCTGGCCATTACCGCTAATGCTGTCTTTGGAAGACTAAGAGACCTTTTCTACACATTTATGCTACCTTTCATGACATTATGGATGCAAGTAACACTTCCCTTCTGCGATGTGGCACTAAAATTATCTTGATACAAAGGATTGCTACAGAGATGCAAAGGATGGAATATTTCATTCCTAGTCACCTGCCATTCTGCTTTACCCTGGTATAGGAGGAGACTTTGAGGAGTGGGAGGGAGGGAGTGTGAATCCCAGAGGACTGTGTCCTCACCTGCATTTTGTTTCCCTTATTTCTTGGTGGCTGGTCCTTCTCATTTTAGGAACTTAGAAGGCAGCTGCTCTCTCATCTCCAGAAAGCTCCCCTGTTTGCTAACAGACATGGTGGTCTTGTCTGTGGATGCAGGGTTGTGTGAGTTGGTGTAACTTCAGCGCTCGTCTGACCATTGCAGTGTGTGAAGTTTTACTAGTTCATCTGAGAAAATAGCCTATCTAAGGAAAAAAAAAAAATCCTTTTTCAATCAGTTCTGCAAACTAAAGCAGTCTACGCAGGGACTGGAATCCTGGTTTGGGGAGTGAGACCATTGTAATTACAAGATGATGTTTTGTAACAACACCAGTCTGAACCATCACTGTAAAATCTCGTATTGCAGTGGGCAGATAGCTTAGGCCTTGAAATTGATAGCTTGGGCTTTTCTTCTGTTGTCTACTCCCTGCCCCTACTCTAGATCTACAGATTTGTGCAGCTACAGGGTAAGGTGGTTATTGAGCTGTTTGGGGAAGTGTGAGAAATTGGGAACTGATCAGTGGGAAACTGAGCTGCATGATGACTGGATCTGCATCAGGGAAGAGAAGAATATGAATAAAGCTTTCCACAGCAGCCTGGAGATACATCAGATTAAGCACAACATGAGACAGCAGCTTATGCCTGTTACTCATCTTTGCCTGGCCTTGTGATGCTGAAAAGTGCCTTTTTTTTTTTCTTTTTTTTTACCTAATTAAGTACACCTGTGAATATGTAGTGTATTTACTTTTAAATTCTTTTTACATGACCTTTGTTTCCTAGTGTCTTCATCTTCTGTTAGCCTCCATTGTACAGCTGGAGGAACGTTGATGCTACCCCAGTCAGCTTCAAACAGTTCTCAGTTCCCTCTCTCTCCCTTAGCTAGTCCTGAAGCTGTACCCCTCCTCCACTTTAAGAGGTCTTTTTTTCCTTTCTTTGTCTTTTGAGTGACAAAGATGTGACTTGGTCCCTGTAACTGTTTCCTGAAGCAAGACTGAGGGAGAAGTTCCAACCTGAGATGTTTTTCAGCAGAGTTGAAGGAAGAGAACTGATTGGCAGGGAGTGGGCTCTCTGAGAACCAGAGTGCTGGGAGGAGGTACAGAAGCAACTGGCTTCACCGTGGCTTCCCAGAGGAGCATAACTTCTTGGAAACCTCTGCTTTCCAGGGAGTTATGTCTCATAGCACAAACCTGGAACTTAAAATCCCATGCATGTCTGGATGTTTGTCTAGAGGTCTGTTTACAATGTTCCCCGCAGCTTCTGGTTCCAAGAAAATACTACAGAGGAAGAAATCTTCTGTTTGCATCCTGTGTTGCTGTGTGAATGCACCCTACATAAGTGTACATCACTGTCTGGTAGCTGCTGTAATGAACTGATTTCTCTGTAGTGCAGCAACATTTACAACACACCCATGCTAAATATTTGCTTTATGTGAGGCTGCAGAACGGGAAAAGAGCATGAGATTGTATTCACTGACAAACATAGGTTCAGAAGAAGAGTAGAAAGCTAAGGCTTCGTTAGCTCTATAGAGCATGTTGTGTTTCAGCTATGATTAAGATTGGTAAATACAAAATTGTGTGCATACAGCACAGTTATTTGTTTGGAACTGAGTTGTGTCCTTAACATTAGGTATTTTTCAGTTAAGACTTGGTATCAGTTTCTAGGAATGGGGGACTTTTTCAATCTGAGATTGTGTTAGAATAATGCTTTTTTTTTTTTTAACTATTGTTTTGCAGATTGCCTTCATGACCTTGACTCTGTTTCCTATCCGACTCTTTTTTGCTGCTTTTATGATGTTGCTGGCCTGGCCTTTTGCATTCATTGCTTCAATGGGATCTGATGAGCAAGAGCTTGAAAAGCCCCTCTCCTGGTGGCGAAAGTGAGTCACTCATGTGGTGAACTACTAAGAGAATCATCATATAGTTCAGCAGTTTGAAATAGAGAAGATGGGAAATACCTCGTATCTGTCTCAGAGATGTGCTTTTCTCTTCAAAAGAAAAATATAAAAAATAACACTGTCCACAGATGGGGAAACTAAGAATACCTCAACTCTTTGATTTACCAGGTGACCCAAGAATTACAGGGAGAAAAACTGGTATCTCTGACTTCTTATCTTTATTGAGTATATAGTGTGAAGCTTTGTTGTGGCATCCTTCACTTTCCCCTATTCCTGTAATGTCAACTTCTGGTTATGAAGACTGACTCTATGGAATATGCCCAAATTTCATATTCTAAACCGTTGGTTTGCACTGCTTAAACCCACTGTTTTCTACACTGTGATGAATTGACAAAACTTGTGTTGTTTGCCTGAGGGCTTGCCCCATACTTTCTTTAGTGCTTATTAAAAGTCTGTGCTTGTTTTGATATTGGAATACCTTAGGTAAAATGTAAGATAGTGTTCACCCATCCATGAACACTGCCGTTTGGGGAGCAAGAAAGGAAGAGCGTATCACCTTTTCTGTAAAGAACTTTAAAATTAGGGTCTGACACTAACATGAGGGAAGCTGATTGTGTTTTGCATCACAGGAGGGAAGGAGGTTGAGAACCACAGAGGCGTGTCACTTTACATTTCATTTGTAGTGATATCAGTATAATAACTAAAGGAATAATGGACTGCCTTGAGTCTTGCATACAATTATTTTGAATCCTTTTAAATTTTCCCTCCTCCAATTAATCCAGTTTTCAGTGTCACCCTGCTCCCCAGCTTCCCAGTTGCTGTAAGTGTAACAATTTGTTGTGTTTGGGTTTTGTACTCTGTTGGTTCAAAGTTTCTCTTTTTGTGACTATCAGACAGTTTAAAAAAACAGGAAAACAAAACTCCACAAAAAATCAACCAACAAACAAAACAAAAACCCCAAACCAACAAAACCCCACAAAACAAAACACCAAAAACACATCACCCAAATCGCTTTAGGAGGAGTTAGGGAAAAGGGAAGAAAACAAAATATTTCCAGGGCTCTCATATGTATTCTCTAGGCATTCCTGTATTTGAGAATCTCTGCCCTACATTTCTCCACTGTTTTGTTTGGATAAACTTGAAACCGAGAATCAGGGTTATTGCATTCTAGCAGTATCCTAGGACTCAATTTATTAGAGATTTTTAGGTGTCGCTAGAAAACATTAGACATTGTATAGAAGAAACTCCAGCAGTCATAGCCTGAATAAAAATTAGTTTGATGATAAAATAAATGCCAATCTAACTGTGATTCAAATGGATTCATGTTCAGGTGTAAAATGAATTGAACAGCATCTTACCTTGAAAATGGTCTTAAATCTACTAGAAGGCTGTGCAGTGTTGAAGCTCTGTTTAAGCATCGTATCCTATCTGTACTTTTCTCATATATATATATAAAAAGTTTTTAAGCAATGTTTTGCTTTTCATCATAGTAAGGTATTCCTGTGGCAGCATAACTGTTTTCTCAACTCTTTGCAGGATAGTGGATGTTTTGCTGAAAGCAATCATGAGAATGATGTGGCTTGCTGGTGGATTCCACTGGATAAATGTTAAAGGCAGACGGGCATTGCCAGCGGAAGCAGCAATATTAACTGTGGCTCCCCATTCTTCCTACTTTGATGCCATTCCAGTAACTATGACCTTCGCCTCCATTGTGATGAAAGCAGAAAGCAAAGATATTCCTGTTTGGGGAAGTAAGTTGGTAGATACTTAATTTTTCAAGAACAATTGAAAATCATTGCTTAGGAAGTTCACTGGCTGTGTTTGAGAATGACTGAAACACAAAGAAAAATTTGCTATAATATATGATGAGGGTTTTATTTTAACTGATCTATTTAGAATGTCAATAGGAAAAAACTGGGGGAGATGTTGTTCTTTTTCCCCTTTCTCCAAAATTGAATCATGGTATGCAGTCAAAGCAATCCTCCAGAACTCAGGTTAAATTTGCAGTAAAATTGCAACATTTTAAGACCTGACAGATAGAAAAGCAAATTAGGATGGGCCTATGGAAGCAAAGACTAATGCTAGAGAGAAAGTTCCCCAAGACTTATTACTTGGTGCAAGTTGGGGTGCCATGCCGGAAATATTTCTTAGGAATGCTGTCTGCTCTGAATGGTACCCTGCCTTGAGGGAGTGCTGCTAATCCTTCACTCATCAGTAAGTTTGTTTCTGGCAGGGTGTGAGAGATGAGCGTGAGCAGACTCTTGTGCACTCAGATTGAGTCATGAGAAGAGCCTCAGATGCCTGAGTCAGTAGTGTTTGAATAGTATCTTGTATTATCATTTTTCAGTGTAAGTTCTCAAAAATGTTTGAGATACATGGGATTTTTAATGCAGTTGTGCAAAAAAAAAAAAAAAGGTGTAAGTCTTTTGGGCTTGTAGACTTCTAAACAAAATCTGTGTGGAAGCATTTTGGAGAAGTCCACCGTATTGTGTCTAGCAGCCAGCAAAGTTCAAAGAATTGCCCTTTGTCTCACTGTGTAGATTTTAAGGGTAATATAAAAATGACAAAAGATTTTACTTTGGCGTTGCGTAGGACTCTTAATTTAAAAATCTAATCAAAAGCTTTGACTTCCTTTGCAACTAAGTGGAATCAGGTTGTTGGTGTTGATGTCCTCCTAAAATTTCATTAGACAATGTGTTCTTAAGATTATATTCAAAATCAGAAGCTGAGACATGGCCAGATACTGTTGTGAGACAGTATGTTGGCACTCCCATACAACATAGGTGTATCCAGGCCAGCTGAGGCTCTAGAAGCAGGCCAGACATAGAAGCAGGGGCTGATTTATCTTCTTTCTCAGGTGACTCAATTTGCTGTTTAGTAATTGCTGGCTCAGCAAAATAAAGTAGTCTGTGTGGAACTCCCTTTGACTTGAAGGTGGACTGTATGGAGGACCCAAACTGGACGAGGTAACTCCAGGCCATGTTGTGTTACTGAAATGTGATGAAACGACAGAATGGCATTTGACAGAATGCTATAATGGGTACTTAACTACCCACTTAATAGATTCAGTGGGAGTTAGTGGGGAAGCCTGAGGAGAATTTGAAGGGATATGGAGATATGCACTTCCACTGAACGTAACACAAATAATGCACATCAAGTAGTTAAAACTATTTCTATGTACCTAATTTAATTTTAAGGTAACTTCTAAAGGATTCTTTTGAAAGTCTAGACAGTACATTTTGAAAAATTATTCACTTGATTTTGTTCATGTGTGAGTAAAACCAGTTACAGAAAAACAGAAAACATGTAGTGATTTGATGGAATATTTCTGGAATGTACAGTGCAGTCAAATAAATGGATGGTTTGTCCTCTGTCTCTGCATTTGCTTTATGTTACACAGCCACAAAAGTTGTGTAGTCCCTTTTAAAATGTTCACAAAAATGCCACAGAAATGAGGCATAGCAAGGGTCGCAATTGGGATTCAGAGTTTAAAAAGCTTTTTTGTTTTTAGAGGAGTATTTTTCTATGAGCAACACTAAGTACAGCAGCTTATGTTATTTAAGTAAGTGGACCTTAACAGAGAGGTGAGTAATCAGTATATTGATTAATTTAGCTTAAAAATCAGTGAAAACTTTCCAGTGGAGTGAAGCTGTCGTTTACTTATTTGTTTTTCTGCTTGAAAGAAGTTTTCGTGAAGCAAATAGTGCTATCTTCTTTGATCTAGGTTTTTAATCCTAATGTTATTTACACTTCTCCGCATGCACACACATGAAAGAAATAAATATTAAAAAAATGGTATTTCTCTCATGCTGTCTATCTGTGGAAAGATGCTCATGTTTTTATTGGATTGCCTGGTGAATTGTCAACACTCTAGACATTAATCTAGAATTTATCCCGGAGAGGTCAGAATTTTTACGTTCTTCAGTTTTGTAAGTCTTGCAGACTTGTTATACCATCTCCAGGGAAGTTTTGTAGCCAGTCACTGACCTTCCTGTCTGTAAATTGAGTCTTGTTAATGGTCACTCAGAATCTTCTGGGAAGCTTTGAATCTATTTGACTCTCTGAGCAGACTCAGGCATGTAAAAAATGACATGGCAGGGGAAGTTTGAAGATAGTTTTCAAGGATGAGGACCTTGGGTGAAGAGTAGGGAATCATCCAAAATATCCAAGTGTGATTTAAAAAGTTGGCTTTCTTTATGTACTGACAGTGTTTATTGGGACATTTTATGCTCTATATCAAAGGGATCAGGTGCTTTAGCAGGTGCAAAAAGATCTGATTGCTAACTGGTTATTGAGATTGGTTCTGCAAATATTTTAATATGTTTCTGGAGCTGTATTATTGTATCCCTAGTTTGCCAGTCATGGAATATTAAGCTTCTGATCCACATGCAAGTCCAGATTATTAAAAACCTGTTCTTCATGGGATTGCAAGTATTCCACAAGTATGCTTGTGCATGAGTGTTTTATTGCTTTCTAACTTGAAGGTACCTCTTCTGAACCACAAAGTCCAATTTCAGAAGCAGATGTAAGTCTTGTGACTCTTACAGACATCTTCCTCCTTTTTAGGAAAACAAAGAAAAAAACCCTCAAATTTAAAAATGCGCTTTTCTTCTGAAGGAAGAGTTTTGAACTCTTCCATTAGCGGTCAGTAGTGAAGGAAATTATCTGCTTGGCACACACACGAGGTTAACAAACTCTGGGGAGGAACTGCTTGCCCAAATATAAAAGAGATTACAACCAAAAAAAAAATAATCAGTATCTGGGAAGCAGAGAATGCCAAACAGACAGTACATCATGATGCTGAAGGAAGACATATGTTTCCATGCAGTGACTTTCCAGAGTTTTAGTAGATTGGAGATATAAAATTCACTGGACCACTTAAGTGTAAAATGTGCAGCTGGGAAGATGACATCTAGGAGTCTGTTATACCTTACATGGTCTGAAGAAGTCAGATCAATGAATTTATCAGCACAAATCCTTACACTTTTCCTGTTTTGTCTACTGAATCTCACTTTAAATCAGGACAAGGTTTTTGCATGAATTCTGGATAGTTACATTTCCTTGCCTTATTTTTGACTGTTGAAGCAACCTGGGAAAAAGTAATTTTTCATTGTTGAAGTGGTCTGTGCTGCTGCAGAAATGCTTCAATAAGAAGGAAAAGGAATTTATCAGTAAATAGGGGGTTATGGGTATTTTGTTGGATCACTTCTGTGATTTGAACATCTTCAGTGATGTGAACTTTTAGAAAATAAATTGAAGGTGATAAGCTAGTTAAAACTTTAAGCAGCTTCTCAACATCTCTAACATCACCCTCTGAAAAGAAGAGGGATTTGGTACCTGTGAAACAAAATGAGGGGATATGTTAGCTTAAGTTTATAAAGGGGAAGGGGGTAATTTCTATTTGGCACAATGCAGAAGAGCTGTAGAGGAAGGGAGAATCATACTGTGCTGTAAAACTGTCAATTCTGTCCTGGGTGGTTTTTTCCAAATCTAGTAAACTTGTGAATTTTTGTTCGAGCTCATCTTTTGACAGTACATTCTAGGCTTTTCTAAAGCACATCATGACTAAAAGATGAGAAATAAGTAATTCAGGGGGAAATATTTATGCTTTAGTAGCTGGGTATGTTTTCATCTCAAACCTTAAAAGATATCAAATTACTCATCAGCTCTGTTATGGAACCTAATCCTTCAGTCCTTCACCTCAAGTGCCCCTCCTTCTCCCCCACCCCTTCCAAAGCACAGAAGGAAGAGAACTGTGGTAGACCCAGAGTTTGTGAGAATCTTGCATTCAAATACTTGAATGCTTTTTGGAAAAATCTGCTGTAAGGTGAAAACATCACAGATTTCTTTATGCACTGTAAATCAGCAGCTTAAACACTAAGGTCACCAGGATGAAAGCTGACATCCTAAGCTACGCTGGTATTGTAGCCTGCCTTGAGTACATGAAGGAGCTCCCCAGTTCTGATGAGCATCTTGTAGTTGTTGCCAAGCTTAGCCATTTCATCATCTCCTTTCAAACCTTCCATTTCAAAATTAAAGGTTTCCTTCAGGCTGTGGGCACGCAGATGGCCTTGCAAGGTTTCTGTCCTCACAGGAGCTCTCTTGGAGAGACTTGAAATAGTTGGACTGTCATTTGTGTATTATAGGTATGCCTTTATTATTTGGGTTAGAGTCCTGGGAAATTCAGTAAAAATTATTTCTCATTTAAACTACTGCTGAAATGCCTAAACCACCATCACTTTTTTTAAGCATGCTTGATAATATGGTTCATACCACAGTATGTAGGAAACCTGCAAACCAACACTACTGCCTGCCTTAAATACTTTTGAGACTGGCAGTAGAAAGCTGAAACATACAGCCATGCCCTCATGCAGGTATTGCAGGTGTGAAAGCAAACAACAATCTTTGTGATATAAAAAAAATCTTTGTGCCTCAAGAAGTCCTTAAGGGAAATAGATCACATTTTGAAAGACCAACCCAAATACCACAGAATTTACTTCTGTTAAAGCTAAAAGAGGACACTGATTATTTACCTCCCACTGCTGACTTTTCCTTGTCCTGCAGACTGCATGTGTCCTGCCTTTCTCTTTGGAACTCGAGAGGGGAATTTTCTTGTTAACACTGTTTCTATACCAGGAATACTTGGTATCCCTTCTGTCAGGTGGTCCATCTGCTAGGCATTTAGTCAAATTAGCAGAAGTTCTTGACGTGCACTGAGCTTCAGTGGTTGGTTCAGATTTTAGTCTTGGACTTTAGTGTATGTTTCTGTGTATATTTGTTGGTCTAATAATGTTCTACCACTAACTTTACAAATCTCATGTAGAGTACCATGACTATAATAACTTTTTCTTAACTTTTTCTCTAAGAACAATATGATTCCAAGTGGAAAAGATCCTAATTTTGGTTGACTTGAGTTTTGTGCATTGATACAGCTTCATGTATTTGGTGTGGGGGGTCTTGAGTTTTTCCATTTTTAAGGTCCCTGTGTCCATATACATAGGAATTAATTTTAGTCTGGAACCTTAATGGTTTTTTCCCCCCATAACTTTCATAAGACTTCTGAGCCGTTTGCAGATTTCTTTTCTTCTTTTCTCTCCAGAAAAAAGCAGTCTTCATATTAGATGTTATGAATTTCATATTAGATATTACTTCATTTAAAAAGCCTTCACGTTTATATACCCCTAAATACAAAATGCACAAGAGGGCAACTAATAATATAATCTGTATTTTTTCCATAGTAGAAAAAAATCAGGGGTAAGTACAGTAAATGGATATGCCACAGCAAGGCTACTTGTACGGCTTCATGTTAAATGCAAACAGAGCCAGTTGTACTGCCTCAGTAGGCTGCCCTCTTAGTGTGTATCAGGAGAATGTATGTGTTGGGATTTTGTCTTGTTTGGGAGAGATGCCAAGGGAAAGCCTCACGTTCATCATTCTCTGTGTTTGCAGCAAATCTGTGACTTTGATGCTAATTCTACAGTGGTGAAAATGTAACTGCCTCCTCAAAAGCGTGTGCATGGATACCTTTTAGAAGAACTGTATTTAGTGCCGTGTTGCTGTTCCATTGCTTTTTGTGTTCTCTGATGCCTTGTAGAACCAGTGGTGAAGTTGCCAGTGTAGTTGTATCTACTGCGTGGTTGTAACTGCCAAACATAATTTAAATGGTTTGCTACAATACTGTTGTGTGTTACACAGCAGTTCCTGTCTTGATTTGAAACAAGGTTTCCTCACACTCGTTTGCCTCGAAATAGAGAGGTGAAATAAATTTTTTTTCTCTGCTGCTATCTTAAGGCATTCATTGACACCAATTGTACGTGTTCAGCTCATCAGGGAGAAACCTTTTTTTTTTTCTTATGCACTGAGGTGGTGCTTAAATTGATTGCATGGGTGTTAACATTTCTAAAGTCAGTTGGAGCTGCCACCCTGCAATTAATTAAAGCAATATTGAATTTTTGCAGGCTCTCTTAAAAAAGGCTGTTCTCTGCTAGAGCAACTTTCAATTGGTTAGCATATCTGTGGTGTTCTTGCTGCCTTGCAAGGCAGAGGTTTTAATGAATTACTGGCAGTGCTGTTTAAATTGCAGGCACCTGCCTAAGAAGGTGGAGTACAGCACGTCAGCTGTCCTCAGGACTGACACTGCTAGAGAAAAAGCTGGAGTAATGGCACTGGCAAGGTCAGTTTTGTGAATTGAGGGATTGGCTGTCATTGCCTGATAGAATTGATAATTCAAGGCTGGTTTTAGTGGAGTGTGTGAGAGGAGCTGGGCAAGCACATTTTTCAGAGTCTGAATACTTGAGCTGTGGTCTTCAGTACCTGGTTACAGTCAGTCTTGGACCGTTAAATTGCTGAGCAGGCAAAGATATGATTATGTTCTGTTTATTAAACATATTGCACACTTCTGCTTGTTTCCTTTAACTGCTCAGTATGCCAGCTGTCTGGAGCATTTTCATGCATGCTGCTTTTTTGCTCCTGGCCTGACTTTGTTCTAGTCCTCCCTATTCCTTACATCACATCCTACCTTATGGTATGCTCTCCCTGTGTTTTCACTTGATGTCTGACCTCAATCTCGTCTTGTCCACTTGCTTGATATGTTTCTCAGCTTTTCTTTACAGACCTCTGTCTCTGTCCCTGACTTTTTGGAAGAGACTATCCTAGTACAACCCTTGAATTTTCAGATTTCCATCTATTTAATGAACATGAAAATATGTGGTGATAGTAAAGGTCTGTGTAGCCTTGTGCTCTGTTTTCAAAAGCGGTTAAGAAAAGAGTAGATGAGGAAAGGCAAGTACAGAACTAGCCTTCCCTTGGTGGGTACTTTCAGCTTCCTACTGATGAGAGTTTCAGTTTCACTTGACTTGTTGGACTTAAACACTAAGGACCTGGTAGCTGGTATCTTACAGGATCTTCAGTTGCTGTTTAATAGTAAAACAAGAATTCTGTCAGCTTTTAGTTTGATCTCTAAGGAAATAAGAATTAATAAGACCACCCTGTCTAAGAATTGATGTGATGGATTGAAATAGTGATGTCTTCACACACATATTTGAAAAAAGGTAATTGTAAAAAAGATACTAAGTTCTGCAAGCTGCATGAAAATACTATTTTAACTATTTTGTGTCATATAATTCAACAAGCAGGACACATCCATAGGAAACCAAGCTTTCAGTTGTTTCTGTTCTTTTTCAGCATAGGTTTTCTTTGCATGTGGGTGTGTTGCTGTTTGTGGTGCTGGTTATTTGTGAGATAACTTAGCGTGTGTTACTTTGGAACTTAGTAGCTTGCTTTAGGAAGGTTGTAACAGTAAAGCTCCCAGGTTTACACACAACTTGCCTGTACAGTTTTCAGATACAGACAACATTAGTGTAATCTGATGTTTCCATCATGTTACCCTAAGTAAAATCTATCTGCTTGCTTAATGTCTTGTGTTACAGAGAAGACCTTGCTTGCAGCAATCCTCCAGAACCTCAGAGCTCTGGATTTATCTTATTCCTTGACCTGAAGCAACCCAAATTCCATCATTTGGGCCTAATGTAAAAGAAAATTTGGGGTGAATGCTGGGGATGTTTGGATCTTTTGCTTTCTTTTATTTTATAATGTTTTTGCTATGGAATAGTAATTTGCAACAGTAGGGCAAACTCAGGAGTAGCATCTCTAAGAAACAAACAATTATAATACCAGATATGGTTTCCCTTGTTATTTTTATTGCTTGTTCTGTGTTTGGGGTTTTTTCCCCCCTATTTTTTATACATTAATCTTTCTGGGTTTTGTTTGGGGGCTTTTTGTTGGTTGGTTGGTTGGTTTTTTTAGCTTCCCCCAACAGTAACCCCAACTGACCAATGATGATCTTTGCTCCCCTAGCAAGCATTGCTCTACAGATATTGTCTAAGATCAGATATGTAGGAATAAGTGCACGACTAAGGTAACTTTTCTGTGATATACTGTCTCCTAAGCTTTGGCAATCTGTGGGATAAAACCAATATTTCAGAGGCTGGCTGACTGTTTGGGACCTTGCTGTAAGTTTTGACAGATTAGTTTCTCCGGACCATAGAAAGATTTTGGTGAGTTGCTGGCTAAAATTCCAGTAGAATGACACCGGAACCAGCAGCTTTTGCTGAGTACAGGACTGTAATTCCTTACAGTGTTTGTTTTTTCTTCACACTTTAAGCACTGGCTGATCCATTAATGCAGCAAGTCTATCCTTGGCAAAAGAAGATTATACAATTAGTGGCAGTGAACTCATCCCACAGTGGTTGCAAATATGAAAACTGTATTTTGGGCAAATAGAATAACCAATATTTTAGTGACTCTGGAACCTTTGAATAAAAATACGAGATAACAAAGTTATTAAAAGGTATTTGAAGACAACCTGCTTAAATAAAAACATGAAGCAGTATATTTGAAGTTGCTTCACTTGTAGTACTTTTGGACACTGCAAAACAGCTGCATGTGCTCATTATTTTGAAAGTTGTCTTTGGTGTCCTGGTGACTGACATGCATGGACTGGATCCTGTGGATTGATTTCTGATTTTTGCTCATGTTCATTTTGTGTCTGGCTATGTACAAGAGGTTTCCCACTGAGCCAGGAAGAGGATGTCTGAGATCTAATTCAGCGGGTATGAGGAACGGGCAAACAGGTGACAGCTGAGAAAATAAGCACACTTTTTCTTTTGATGATACTGAGTCCTCACAAAAAAATGACATCAGAATATGGAATATCTTTTGTGATGTACCTTTAGGGCATCTGAGCTGTCATAGAAGATAAAAGCTCTAAAAACAGAGACAGTCTGACCCATGGGATATCTTTTGGAAGCACTTTGGAAGAGGGAGATTCCTGCTACTTTGCTGGGTTAGGAGGGACTACAGACTTTGTGAATTTTGTGGCAGGAAGAAATGACCTATAGACAGTCACAGCTGTATTGTTGCAGAAAACTGTGCATAATATGTACCATCCTATTTTAGATTGTCTGTGTTGTATATATTGGTCTGTATTGGTCTATTAAAAATTGAACTATTACAAAGTGGCAAAACTGTGGAAATGGTTTTCCTCGCAGGAATTTGTGAAAATATAGTGCCAAAATAGCAAAACTGGTTTTCCTTACAGGCATTTTTGGAACTATTTCAATAAAACTGCATTAATTCAGCTGAGTATTTAAGTTTGCAGTGTAATATAGTAAAGTATGTTCTTCTACCAAAATTTTTGTCCAGAGGATTACTAGGCAGAGGTGAGGTGGGGGGATCTTTTTCAAACAAAGAGGAAAATAAGGCTGATTTGTTTGCTTTTGTTTTCCTTCCTCTTCAGCTCTAATCAAATACATCCGACCAGTATTTGTGTCTCGGTCAGACCAGGATTCTCGCAGGAAAACTGTTGAAGAGATAAAGAGGCGTGCTCAGTCTGATGGGAAGTGGCCACAGGTACTGTATTCTGCTACGGTTTGACAAATGGTATTTGGCATTTCCAGGCTTTGGATATGCAGTTTACTTTTTTTCATTGTGAGTGGCTTCAGATGGTTTAGGATGGGGGGTGGGGGTGAAATTTCCTCCGCCCTCTTTTTCTAGAAGATACAATGTAAGATTCTTACCTGTTTCTCGTTGCATTTTGTTTCAATGGGAACTGGGTAAGTACATGAGATGGACTAAATGGACAGACCACAGCAGATTTAGAAAGTCCTCTCAGAAGAAAAAATTAGATGCTTAGCAGAATACCTGGGGAAGTATTGTGTGTTCTTGCCCTTTGCAAGATTTTGGCATACTGTTGTTTTTGGAGATGTGATACTGGGCAAGACAGCCCAAGCAGTTTGGATGTTCCAATAACCAAAGCACACCTCTATTGGACGACATGATGAAAGCATGGATAAAATAAGTGGCTCAGGGTATTTTTTCTGCACCTAAAATGTGACTGTGTATAACGTGCCTTGGAACAGAGTAATGGGAAGGAAGGGATAACTGCCTAAGATCTCACATTTCTTGAAACATGTGGTAATTTTGCAAATCTGAAGCATTCCTGTGATTTTTTTTTTTTTTTTTTGAGATTGGGATACCGTATACTTTTTTGGCATTCTTGATGCTTACAGTGGTTATGCCTGCATAATGATCTGCAGAAACATTATAAACAGCTATAAAAATGAAACAGGTGATATATACCTTTTGAACTATGAGTTTCATCATGGATTTCAAAGCAAGCTAGTACCAGACTGAGCAATAAAACTAGTAATGTTAATTCTCTTCCATTTTTTTGTTCCCTTGTGATACGGGTTTTTTGTTGTTTTGTTTGTGTTGGTTTTTGGTTTTTTTACAATCTACTCTCTTCTGCTGAATTTGGTTCAACTTCAGCATTTTTTGCTTTGTTAGAATTCTGTTTAGGCGTCTTCAGCCTCTGTCATTTGGACATCTGTGCACATGCCAAGTAATAGCAAAAAGAAAATAACTGTCTTTCTACCTGGGAATGGGAATTTTGTTTTGGTACAAAAGAGAATATGATACTTTTGCCAGCACCAAAACCTTTGATGAAAATACTCTTATGCTCTACAAGTGTTTCTGGTCACTGTTGGAATAAACTATTACTGAGGGCAAGAAAGAGGCAAATTCATGGATAAAAATATTGTTACTATTAAGGTAGAACTTTACTTGACTTCTTTTTTTTTTTTTTTTTTAAGTCTATCCGAATTGTTTTTCCCTTAAAACATTTTTGCTGTAATCAGTTAATATCAACTTTGAAAAGATGTTTATAAATAAATTCACACTGGAATAGTTTTTAAAAGTCAATTTTTTCTTACTTCAAGATAATGATATTTCCAGAGGGCACTTGCACAAACCGATCCTGTCTAATTACATTCAAACCTGGTAGGTATTATACTCATTTCTCTGTTCTCTACATAATGCTGTTGTATCTTTGTTTCTTAAAATACCACTTGCATTGTAATTTGCTTACTGTTGCAGAAATTGATTTTAAAATCTCGCAATAGGGTGAAATTGGAATAGAAATTTTCTAATGATACACGAGGTTTGTAATTCCACAATTGAACAAAACATTGTAGATAATTCAGGTTTTTTCTTTGCTTCTGAGATGCATATGAACTGGAAGACTAATGTTTCATGCTGGGTTTTTGTCTGTGGTTGTCTCTTTTCTTTTTCCTTCTTTTTCTTGCCTCCTCCATTTCCTATTTTGGGTCTACCATGCAGCATTTAGATACACTATAAAACTTAAGGTAGCACCGTGAATCTATTTCAGCTTGCCTCAGCATTTGTTGCTCTGTTGTATCTGGATGATTCCTCTCAAACTCTCCTGTGGAGTTGCATCCTGGTGAAGATGGCACGAAAATTTTACCCATATAGCAAATGCCAGCACTCTTAGAAGGCTGGCATTTGTTTACAATTTTTTTGTAACATCCACATTCTAAGCTCTTTACAGTCACCATCACCTTTTTATCTTATCAGATTAGAAGGGGCTATAACTGAATATTGCTGCAGCTGTAAACTGCAATTCCAATTGGGAGAAATGCCAATACTGCAGTGAACCACCAACCTTTTAATATAAATTTGCCTTTATGATGTAGACAGGGAAATGGTCAGTGAAGAAGCTTCAGTGAGCAAGGCAGATGTGAACATGTTTTTTGACTCTTCCTGGGTCTGTGCCTAGCTCATTGTGTTCTGATCTTACTAGGCATCTTGTATTTTGCATTGCTTGCAGCTTACATATGACAATTACAATATCGTGCAGTGACTCAGCATCGTGATTCCTTGCTCTGATTCATTTGGCTGAAGGAATCTCAGGCTTGTCTCTCAGCTCTTACCTTTTTAGATGAATGAGTGGTGGCTAGGGAAACATCCACTTCTTTGGTTCTTTGCTTTCCCTCTCTCTCCACCTGAATCCTGACTATGCTTTGGAAACTAGCCTGAATCTTCCATTTAAGCCCTGATTTACTGCCTTCCCTCTGTGACATAGACCTTCCAGGCACCATGTATTTTCCACCTCAAATTCTCACTCCAGCTTCCTCTCCTCTGGCCTAATACGTGCTGCTGTCTGCCTCTTGACTGCCTCACTTTTCCTACTGAAACCTGCTTCTGTATCCATCCAGCCTTTCAGAAATCCTTTACCTCAAAGTTCCTTACTTATATCTCATTACTTTAGGTCTCTATTCAAATAACTGCTTTCTGGATGCCTTTCCCCATTCTACTCATGTGGCCTATGCTCCTTGCTCTTAACTACATTTTTTTTGGTTTTAAGTTTGTGCAAGCTAATCATATAGGGCAAGGTAGTTTAGTTTTATTCAGGTAGTAGTGTTGTTATCTACCACTCAGAATTTGTCAACTTTGGATTATTTCAAAAGTTACTTAAAATGTTCTTTGAGACTGAACAGAAAGTGCCACTGGCCATGAATCTCTGCAGGATTCTCTTCAGGCAGTCTTCATTTAAAGATTTTTATACTCCTTTAACAATTACTACTTTTATGTCTTGACTTATGCCTCTGTAAAGCAAATGTAATCCTAAGAATACAGTACACTTCAATCATGCAGTTCTTAATTTTAGTCAGAATATTAGAGAGAACTTAGTAAATTGTTATAAATAATGTAGTTTGAGTAAGCTGTTTTAATTTCTTCATGAGGAAAAAATGTTTAGAGGAATCTAAACATCTGAGCAACATAGTTGTCATGCTTACCCAATCTTTGTACTAGAAACCAAGAAAATGCTTAGCAAATGACATAGATCTTGTGCTACTTATATATCAGAACTGCAGTTTGCATATGAAATGAAGCAGTGCTTCTGTATAATAGCTGCAGTTCAATACTTTATAACTATTAGATTTTTCCATAGCTAGAGAACAGAAGTTATGTTAATTCTGTTATTTCAGAGAAGACAAATTACCTATAAATTGTTGTTGCTCAAACAAAAATAGAAAGCTTCTTTTGCATAAGCAAGCTTGGATTCCTCACCCAAAAAATATTTTTGACCATGGGGAATATATTGCTTAACTATCTTGCACATACTCATATTTTTTTAATCATTTATCAAACTGAATTTGGTACTGAGCTTTGACTTGTCTGCGTGGCAATATATGTAAGGGGTAAAGGATAATTTAGAGAACGCAAGAAAGCATTTTTAATTATTTATCTGCTGAAAAGATGGATATACATTGTCTTTCTCCAGTGCTTGCTTTTTCAATTACTTTTGAGGCCACTTTCAGATCTTATTTTTTCACTATCAACTAATTCCTATCTGCCCATTAATTGTATAATTATTTCTTGATGCAGTAAACTTCTTCTGTAGCATAAATCACTAATAAAGTAATTATGTGTCATATGTGCCTTCTAGGAGCATTTATTCCTGGAGTTCCTGTACAGCCAGTGGTTTTACGTTATCCAAACAAACTGGTAAGTTCAGCTTGCAGTGTGGCTGGAAATACAGGGCATTTTCCTTGAAAAACGTTTGCACTTCTGTAATCTTTTAGGTTTAGAAATTTGAAAATAATTAATAATTTTTACTGGCTAAGTATATATTCCTTAATTCTCAAGCAATATAGATAATAGTTCGAATGTTTTTGCTTTTATTACATTACTCCTAAACATTGCTCTGAAAGTTATTTGTGTTGTTACCAGAAGTACAGTACACGAGTCAAATGTCAGTTTCTGTGCAGGATCTATGTTGTCTTGTTCTCCCTGTTACTGCTGGAGAGTTTCCTTAATGTCATTTACAGCTGGAAGATGCTTCTGCACCTCCTGCCTTTGGGGGTGTTAGTCCTGAATTAACGCAATTGTATAGCATAGTGTGTTGGGGATCTCTGCACCTTTATATTGTCTGTGTTTTACATTCACTTGGCTAAGGAATGCTAGAGAATGGCTAATTTGGAGTAGTCCTTCAATATAAATCAGATTCAGGTAAAATGGAAATCACAGTGTTTATTTACAATACCTGAAGTTTCTTTTTGAGCCCTCTGTAGAGGATGTAAGGAGTCTCAGAAGTAAAAATGGGACTACCTTGAGTCTTAGCTGATGCATGTCACATCAGATCTCTCTTACTAGCTCATTAATAATCCCTTGTTCTAAGGAAGGATTTTGTTTCCTCTTGGTACCTGAGTTTCTTACAAATACTTCTGTCCATTGTTCTTTCTGTCAACTTACAGCGTGATATAACACATAAACTTGATTAAAAAAGTACCCAAACAAAGTCGATATACATAGACTACCGTTTGCTCTTGACTGAGACAAGATGCGATGGTGGTCAACTAGTTTGCACTAACAAACACAGAAATTATCTTTGCAGATGCTGTGAAAAGAACAGCTATACTTACTTGCATAGTATTAAGTGTATTGTAGCAGGTTGCCTGGGGACTTTTCCTTACACAATTGTTTTGTTTTCAGGAAAAAAGATTCTTTTAATCCAGTTGCATACTGAGATGTCTTTATTGCCCATAGTACATAATATGCAAAGTTTGTAGACTGGTATTACATGTTCCTAACACTTCATTAACAGAAATTGTGAGCTTTTAACATTGAAGTAAATCAATATAAATGTCAATGAAAATTTTCATAATTTCTTTGTGTTACTGCAAAATATCATAAAAGAAACTGTAACTATTTATGTAGATATCCATTGTGAGCTGGCCTGAATTTGTGTATGGGTCTTTACTTTTCCCTACCACTTTTAATTGCTGTGAAACACTTAGTTTCAGTACCTTTCTGAGTCATTTAACTCCCTAAGGTCTACTTCCTAGAGGCCTTCCTGAGATCTAATCATTAATGACAGGGGTGCTAATTGCTATAACTAAATTGATTTTTACATTAGCTTGAGGGCTGCAGAAGAGTTGCAACAGAGTTAGAATGAGGAAGGAGGAATATGATGTGATACATGAAGGTGAGGTTTATTTTGGTTAGAATGCAGATTTAGGTTATTTAATTTCATTTATTAAGCTATTCTTATCTCAGTCTACAAGGTTACATTTTCTTCCTGATTTTCCTACCCACCCTGGGGGAGGAATGAGCGAGCAAGCAGCTGCATGGTACTTAGTTGCCAACTGGGATTTAACCACAACACATGTAAGAACAACATAGTAGGGAGAGAATATTGTTTTTCATACACTGAGACACCATTTTTAGCAAACTTTAATTATCCCTGGCTTCCTGCTTGTTGTCTTGTTTAACTGCTGCATATTATAATTTTAGGTTTAGAAAGGAACTTCTTAAGATCTCGGCTTAGCCAGTGAATTCCAGATATGTATTTTGTGCAATCACCCCACTGCTCTTTACTTGAAGTACCTGCTCAGATCTACATTCAGAGCTCTGAGTTCCACAGTACAGATGAGAACAGTCTTGAATTTGAGTGCACCTGCTGTACTGAGAGGCTTTTTGAGATCAGAGCCTGGGGTGAATATAGTAGGTGTGGGCGCTCTTACATGCTTATTTCATTGTACTCTGTTCAAGAACTGGGGAAAGCATTGCTGTTCCGCAGTGGGCTGAAATGGGGCAAAAGGAAAGAAGTAAATTCAGTTATTTTCTAGCAAATAAATGTAGTTCTGGTTGCTCTAAAGAACTCTCTATTTATTTTTTTTTTATAGTCAGGGTTGCCCCCTGGATACCCATCGTCTTGGGACTTGTGATTATTTGTGTTAGATGACATCTCTGGTCCTGTATTGGTGTTTCTTTAGAAGTTGTATATTAGTATGATACATGATCAGAAAGAATTTTAAGGCTTAAAATATTAAGCCTTTAAATAAATTTAAAAAAATATTAAGCTACTGGTTTTCTAGTCTAGTAATATTTTGGGTATTGGATGCTTGAGAGCTATTGCCTGTTATCAAAATAAAATGCTGTAGTGTCTTCATCCACAGGTTCTACAGCAATTTGTTTTTACACTTATTTTCTTTGTTTCTTCATTTGAATTTTGTGTCAGAGTGCTGGTGATTATGAAAGGCTGTATACCTATATAAATATCACAGAGCCATTTCAAATGTATTTTTATGTCCCAGTGTCTTCCACAAGTAACTACTATTTGATAAGGGTTTGGCAGCATCTCCTGTGCAGTTTTGTTATGTCAGGGTTGACTGAACATGTAAAAACAACAGCCAGTCTGCTTTTTGAAGGTTGGCATGATTGTCAGTATCTTCTTATGTCAAATTCAAACTATAGGGAAGATGGCTCTTCTCCCTGTTTCCTCCCATGCTGAGGGGAAATAACAGGGGGGATAACATTCAAGGTCAGGTTGGATGGAGCTCTGACCAACATGATCTAGTTGAAGACATCCCTGCTCATTGCAGGGGGGTTGGAATAGATGTCCTTTAAAGGTCCCTTCCAACCCAAACCATTCTATGGTTTTATATACTTCCACGCAATTCAAGTATTTTTATTACCTAGATACAGTAGTTTCAAAGTGTACTCTGAATGCTATTGAAGTGAATACTGTCCATAGGGATAAGCTGGTAGCAGTGATAAATATAAAAGGTAACTGGGTAAGGAAAATACCACTTCCCATTGTCTTCCTGCAGTTTTTATCATAAAAATATTGGATATGCTGGTAGCAGTCTGCTGTAGCATAGGTCTGCCTCTTGCAGACCAGAATCCTATTTTCCCCTAGAAAATAGCATTTATAGCCACCATCCCTGCTGCATCCTGGTGTTCTTGATGAGAAAAAGCATTCATGTCTGCTATGACATTCACACTGGGAATTTTCTTGCAGGATTGTTGATAGATACATGGGTTATTTTTGAGTTTGACTTGCCAGCTAGACAGCACAAGGCTGGATTCTGAAAATACTTACTCACTGTTCAGCAATCCAGATACTTTTGTGGAGATCTCATTTTTCTTTATTTCCTTCTGCACTGTTGCAATTTAGAGAGCTGAGTTGGATATGTGTAATTCTGTGGTGTTTTTCTACAAGGCAGATTTAGTCTCTAGATAAATTATTAGCTGTCTACACTGATTTCTCAGGGTTTGTAAATGAAAATTCCTTGTGGAAAGAAACCAAACCTCATAATGTGTTTACTTGCAGTGTTATCAGAGACATCAAATTAGCCAGAAACGGTGTAACAGTAAAGCTACAGACAATAAAGTTCTAAAAGATCCCTACATGAATAAGTTTTTTATGTACATATGTTAGTTGGTATAGATAGAACAATGGCTTGGAGAGTAAGGTCGGTGTATCATGAAGCTACACTAAAAATTTAAAACTTGACTTTTGACAACTGCTTTCAGTCAAACAAAATATGATAAATAAGTATTCTATCACATAAATCACATTTTTCACCATTTATGGATGGATTTGCTTTCTTTTATTTTTAGTTGTGACAACCTTTTGCTCTAAATGGTAATTAAAACTTGAGTTTGATTTGGTTTTTCATGGTCATGGCACATGTGATCACATGAACTCTCTAAAATGGATTTGGATGGTAGCATAGAACTGAACTGGAACATTTTCAGTAAGTTGAAATAAATATCATTCTGATCTGGTCTTTTAGAACCCTGAATTTAATGAGTCTTCTTGTCTTTAATGACTTGAACTTTTTTTTCCCAGTTAGAACAGAACTAATTTTCAGGTTTTTAGATTCTTACTTCTACACTTAAATGTTATCTCTAAGTCTTGCAGTTTTTTTCCTGTACTGTTTCTTAGTCTTACAGTTAAAAATGTGATGACTTTTACTGTCATATTGCTTCCTGTTACCTCTTATATCTGTTATATATTCCTTTCCAGGTCTCTGACTCCTTTTTGCTGTTTGCATCTAACAAATACTTTCACTGCTATTTGTCCTCTCTTAGTGTTTCACACCATGTTCACTTTGGCCATGCAAAAGTTCTGCTGGTCATCCCTGAAAGTAAATTTGTAGGTGTAGATGTCTTAGAATGTACCTTTTGATTCTTGGATCAGGCAGGTGGATGTATGGTGTCTGTGTGTAAAGACAACTGTGAAAGTACTTTGTTTGAGGTAAGACATAAAGTCTTACCCATCCTACTGCTTCACGTCTATTGAGCAGACTTCCTTACAGTCATCCCCACAGGTCCCAGACACTTCAGGAGTGTTAGAGTGTTTGTATCTATTGCTGGGACATCCAAGTACACTGTAGGGACACTTTGTCAAGCGGGGTGGGTTAAGAAAATAAATACATGTGGACTATGCATATTAGGGAACATCACCTTACAGTAAGTAACTTTCTCTTCAAAGGCTAACAGCCTTTGGGTATTTCCTAGCTATGTAAAAGATAGGCTGCTTCCTAACAGGGTTAAGAACTTTTGCAAACAGGGCATTGAAATTTCCATGAAAACATTATAGTCCTATGTCATCAATTATGCTGTCTGCAGTATAAAAAGTTGAAAGCACAGTAATTAATTGCAGCTGTCATACTTCTTTTCTTAGGACACAATCACATGGACATGGCAAGGGCCAGGAGCGTAAGTAGTTTGTTTTCTTGCTTGTATCCTGATTACTTTCCTCCATTAGTTTTTATTTACATGACTTACAGGCATATATAGTCAAAGAATTCCTGGTTATTGGATTGTTCTTTGGGATTAATTTATCTTTTATCTATTATTCCCTAATTATGATAATACTGATTCAGAGAAATCCAGGTATAAACAGTGTACTTCTGCTGCTTTGATTTTGTTGGTTTGCAGAATGGATTTTAGGTTTTTATTTCAATTTTTTTTTTTTTAAGCCAAGTGCCTGAAGTAAAACAACTTGTTTCTGCTCTATGTGTTTTATTGCCTGCAAATTGATTTGGTATATTACTGTATAAAATCTGTAGGTTTTTTTTTTAAATCAGTCTTATCTAATGGAAAAAGTCAACTCAGAGAACTTGGAGATACTGTTTCCATATAGCTTTGATTTTGCAAATTCATGTAATGTCAAATATTAAATGAAGCAGTTCCTGATTTAAAAAAAAATTAAGCATTATTTTCATGATGGAATTTGAGTAGAAATTCTAAAATGTTTAGGTGAAAGTGAAAACAAGAAATTTTTTAACCCTAAGTAAAGGGGAGTTGACTTCTTTTTTAATGCCTCGTATTGTTTTAAATGTCCCACCTGAGATCCTGTATTTTAGTAGTAACAAGGAAACTGTTTGGATTAGCCAAGACTCAAGTAACTTAGAATTTTGTCAGTTAGTTTTGCACTTGGGAACCAGGTCTAAATAAGGCCATGAGTAGATTTGTAGACTTGAGGAATTAATTGATAACTTTTAAACGTCCATCTTACAATTAATGTACCACATTAGAAGTAGGTGAATGCACAATAGTGTATAATGTAAATAGGCACTGTAGCATTTACTGCATTAAGGGATTTCTGTTCTCATGAGCTCCTACCTCTTCCCCTGCATTTGCACTGCAATTCACCTAAAAAAGTAACTCAGCCATAGAGGCGAAAGGCAAGTAGCTTACTTCCAGCTTAGTGTCTTACCTGAGGAGGCAATAACATATAAGAGGAAGAGGGAATAAACTTGTAGATGTGTTGCCTCAGATCACTGTAATGTCTACAAACCCTTTTTTCTGAAGTGCTGACCTCTGCTAAAAAAGTTAAATTAAATTAAAGCCAAATCTGAGTCTGAGGCACCATATGATGTTACACAAATTGCCTGGGTCAGTTTAAATTACAGCTTTACTTAATTAGGATTAATTCTGCTGAGTGACCTAAAATGTATTTCTGATGTCTTAGCAGAAAATAATGGTAAGACTGATACAGTTTTTTTCTCAGCAAGTGTCTCTCTTCTGTTTTAGTGTTAGCCAAAACTTAATCTGGAAATGTTGCTGTATCCAGGAGTATTGTTTGTTCAAAGGTGTTGTAACCTATAAAATGGATTGAAAACTTGTCACATACAAATTTACACTTTCTTCCACTTATTGAAAGTAATGTTTTTACTAATTTGCAGAGCAAATGAGCTGACTCTACCTTGAAAACAAAGAGTGACTATAGTATACAACTTAAATTCTATGTTAGACTTGAGTTAGATAGAGGTTCTATCAGTTTTAGATTTTTATTTAAATTTAAAGTTTAATCTTTCAGGATTCCAGAGAGCTGGCAGAGAGAAAAGTTTACTTGTAACTTTATTGGGGGGGTTTAATGCTCTTGGACAAGGACCTACAAACCAGACTTTGATGTTTCCTATCAGTGCCGTAAACTTCAAATCACAGATTCCACTGTTGTTCTTAATCCTTTTCTTTGCTTTAATATGTTGGAAGTAGAGTAGGAAGGAAGGAGGGGAAATGTTTTGCACCCCTCTATGAGTGTATAACAAAATGAGTAGGGTTTTGCTTCTAGGAACTGCACTGTATCTGTGTAAGAGGATTTTGAGCAGCCCTCCCTCACAATGATTGACTTCTGTAACTACCTAGATACTGTGTAAAAATGGGGTTACTAACACTGCTCCCTAATTTAGGTTTACTAAATCCTTTCCTGGATTTGAACCTTAATGCTTTCCAAGGTCAAGTTGATTCCAGTTATCTTGTATCTTAGGCTAATAAAGCTCACGTAGAATTTCATTAACAGACTTCTGCAGTATAATGAACTTTGATTCCAAAGCAAGGTAATGATAAAATCTCAGTGGTTATAATTAATCTTGCCAACTCTGTGCTGAATACAGCATTTTCCTGAAACAGACTTACTCTTTCTTTACACGTTATGCATACATTATCTTTTACTGTTTGTCTTCCTGCTTTTGAGTGTTTTTTAAGATGCCATTTCAGTGTAAACTGCTTTAGTTGCACCTTACAGAATATAATGTGTAGAAGTACTTTCAAACACCTTTTCTGTTAATTTTTTATCTGAATATGATCATACCTACAAGTAGGAACACTCCCTGAAGACTTTGGAGTAAAATGTACTACAGTTTCACTACATATAAATTTTTTTTCTCCATCCCTTCCCATCTTTTGCCCCTTTTAGGTTTGAAATTCTGTGGCTTACTTTATGTCAGTTTCACAATTCCGTGGAAATTGAGGTCAGTAAAAAAAAAAAAAAACCAAACCAATTTATTCTGAGCAGTTTCAGAATATGTAATATTGTACTTGATTCTGCAGTAAAAGTTTGTGTTCAAACTTTGTATGTTTGTCTGTAAAAACAGGTTAAAATACCACTTACATTTTAGACAAATGGCTTCTGTATCTGAAAATGTACTCTAAAAATGAATAGCAAAATACAGTTTTCCCCTTGGCATAAGACTTTACTTTCTTATTGATTTTAATGGAGTAGATAAATTTCTGACTCTGTTCAAAGAGTCTTTTGTGAACTAATTTCTTGTCTTTTAACGGCCTAATTACTATTCCAAGTAGTGTACCAACTTTGCATGTTAGACATCCAAGTGTGCGAATGCTGATGTACAAACTAAGGACTATCTTGTAGAGGAAAATTGTGGGTGGTTTCTTATAGGTCAGATATATTATTTAATGTCTGGCTAATTTGTAGTTAGGCTGCACTGGTCAGAATGTGAAAATAGGGAAACAGAAAGAAAATCTATCTATATTCTTAACTTTGTTTTGAGGAAAACACTGTGATCCTAAGGCTGAAGACTGTTGTAGAGACAATGCAAAAACAATTAAAGCCATTCCTTTTAAATTGTTGTCTCTATGCATTTTAGACAGAGTAATTGCATTTTTGTGGACAATGACAGTATTTGGAAAGTGTTATATAGGATATTTGACAGATGTTCTGCATTTCTTTTGCTTTCTGAATAATGAAGCAGCTATTTAGCTCTGACAGATGGAACTGATGACAGGGTAAATCAGTAGGAAGAACTATTGCATATTTACATACATTGTGTTACAGTAGTGACATATAATGCATGCTAATCACAGTACTTATTGTTGCTCTGTGTTTGCTTATTTATGCAGTCAGTTATTCTCAAAATTAATGAATGTACAAAATACCAGCCACTGAATGGTTGTATCTGTTGTAGAAATTTGTGGTTTGTGTTATCACTTCAGTTGGATATCATCAGCTATTTATGGCATATATTAAAAAAAAAAAAATTGGTTTCCAAACTAGTGACCTTTTTTTTTCAGAAAGGCCAGGGAGTGACTGCCTTATGCAGGGGTAGGACAAACCAGTTGGTTGGCAGGATTTTTACTCTACCTCAGGAACGTGTTTTTCTGCCCTAGGCAAGTAAAATGTGTTCTTTCACACAGAAGTGAACAGTGCTGAGCTTTCTTGATTTTTGAGACAGCAGCTGCTAGCAGATCCTGAGTTTCTGTAGCTCTTACAGATCTTGCATAATAAGTTATGATCTTTAATAGTCTTTAAAAAAAAAGCAAACTAACTAGTGACCTTCTAAAGTACTCCATACTAGAGCGGGAGCTGGCAGAGGGTAGAGGAGCAGAAGTGTTTGCAAGGCTGCTTTCAAGTATGAGGCAGAATACTTGAGTTCTACTTTGAATCTGTTTTTTTAAGGAAGTGCAGCAGATTTAGGAATGTAGAAGAAAAACTAGTTGTTCAAAGCCATATTTTTCCCCTGGTCTCCAAAGTTTGTTGGTTTTTGTTCCTGCTCTGCTCCATCAGCACAGAGATAACTAGCAAATACCAACCAGCCTTGGTAACACAGTTACTGCTGATGATCCGATAACTCAGGGAGACATACAACAGAACAACACAACATCAGTCTGGTTTTTATTAAATAATAGCTGGTAAGGTTTAACAGGCAACAATCAGGATCCAAAATTAGTTAGTCTGTGCTTGTCTGCATATAATATATGTTCTGGCATACGATATGTGTCATCCAGTATGTATACTGAGAATCAAGCACCTATGTAGCTTTTATAATAGGTTTCTGTAAATATTGGCCCATCTATCCATCCTCTACTTAGAACTGCATGCAAGCAATGTTGTGAAGAAGAGTGGAGGTATGATCATCTACACATGTAAATTGTTTTGGCTCTTGTCATTTTTTTTTGGTGGCCTGTCAGCTTCAGTGTTCATACATCCATCACAGTCTGCAGCAGCTTGAGAGTTCTTCTGGTTTTGTTAGTGCTGTTGAAATATCATGCTATTTATATAGTTAGGCATGGACATGTAGAGCACTTCTGAAATCTCCTCATATTCAAACTTGTTCTGTATTTGGATGAATGACTTGACAGCAGTTTGCAACTCAAAGAAATGGAATAGGACTTGGAAGTTGAAGGAACAGTTATTCCACCTCTGTTAACTTCACAGTCGTTGTCCTTTTGTATATTACATCACACTGATGCATCTGCTTGTAATGTAAACCTAGAAGACAGGAGTCATATGTTTTCAGTTGCAGTGGTGCATATAAAGAAAACTAGCAAAACCCAAAATAAATTCAAGATTTGTCCGTTATACGGAACAGAAAAACATTTAATGGCAGCATTTGGGTATGGCTGATCATACCATTATGTAATTCTGAAAACACATCTGACTTCAAAGTTATTGAGAAATATTTGCTGAAATTACTTCATATTTATTCCCCAGTTGTTATTTTATTTTTATAAGACTAGTGTGAAACTTTTTGGTTATCTGGAAAGAGCTGAACAAAAGAATGTAAAAGAAAGGTTTATCCAAGAAAATGCTAGTACTTGTAAGTTATTTAAAAATTCCTAGTCTTACTTATGAAAGGAAGATAAAACTCTGCTTGGGTTCCATGAGATAAAAAATGAACTAAGTCTATGTTATATGAATTTTCTAGAAGTATGACATATGCTTAAGCATTTAAGAGTTGAATTTTTATTTTTTTCTATAGTCCTTTTGTTAATATAATTTTGTAAGTAACGACAAACTGTACACAATATTCACCAAAATGCTATAGGAGAAATTGTTTAAAATGTTAAATATTTTTGGTATAATTCAGTTCTCTTTATGCAGTTTCTACCTGTGTATATTCCTTCAGAAGAAGAAAGAAAAAATCCAGTGTTATATGCCAATAATGTCAGACGTGTAATGGCAGAGTAAGTATCTTGTAATACAGAATAAAAATAAATGTGTGATTTTAAATTTAGGATGAAGAAAATATCACAAAATCAAGTCAGCATAGTTGCCTGCTCACAAAGAAGCTTGTAGTCTACAAAACTTTTTACAGAGCACTTGCCTTCCTCTGTGAGGAGGCCAAGGAGCCACAAATACAGCAAGAATTGTAGGAGCTGGTGGGTTTGGGATTTTTTTTTTGTTGGTTGGTTAGTTTTTTTCTTTAAACATGTCTTCATATAATGAACCAGTTCTGCTTGCTCTTGTGGGTATTTAGTCTTTTGGGGGAAAGGTATGGGTGAATTTTAGGAAAGCTAATATAACCAAATTTTTGTTGTTGGGGTTGCATTTTAAGCTGTTACTCTTTTAATGAGGTTAAGAATAGTTTCATATATTTGTTATTTTGAACAGGAAAGCCACATCTATTGGAAACAGAGCACTGATACAATGCAAATTAATTGAAATTAAATGTTCATATGTCAACACTTAGAACACTTGTCTATAGTGTATAATAAAGGTAACATTTAATACTTCTACTCTTTTTTTTTTTTTACCCCTCTTGTTCATTCCTTCTTTGTCCTTTCAGTAAATCCTTCATTAGTCAATAGATACTTTTTTTGGTATTTACAGCAAACCCTCTACTCTGTGATCACTGATAACTCTTGAGAGATGTGTGAATCTTTGTAGTCTTGATTTTGAAAGAATTTGTGAAATCTGAATTTCCTTTGTGCAACTTCTCTTCCGTTTCTAAGTTACCAGTTTAAACCAAAGACCAGTTTGTAAATAGTAGGTGATAATTCTTCTCTGGTTTATAAGCAGAATGCAGGTCTGGGAGTTTTTCTTAAGGATGTTAAGGACCATAATATAGCAATGGATCAATACTTGATCCATTGTACAAAAGGACCTGTACATCAGCCTCAAAGACTTTTGTTGCTAATTTCAGACAGTCAACTGGCACTACGTTAAGTGTTGTTCTCAGACTTTGAATAGAAGACCATGTTATTAAACCTTCATTCTGAACTTTACTCCAATCAGATGACAGATACTGTGTGTTTTAAGGAGAAATTGCGATAGCCTACAGAAGTTTACAACAACAAGCATATTGAAAGCCTTCCCTTCTATGTGTGCTTAGATATTATTTTATTTCTCCCTCCCATCTCTGAAGAATTAAGTATTTGGGGTGTCAGAAGTGGGATGCAGGTCTAAAGGGGATCAGAATGGGGGTTATCGAATACAACTTGCTTTGAGATGAAGAAGGGGCTGTAGGTGCTATGTTGATGTGAATGGGAAAATAAATGTGATGGGATACCAAAGTTTTGAAGTTAAAGTGCAGAATGAAACTCAATATTGATGCCTGGATACCATGGATAACTATAGGTCAATTAACATCAACATGGTCAAAAATTATTTACTTTTGACTGCTTCCAGATACCTACTTCTAGTGGGTCTTCTCCAGACTTTCCTATTCATTCATGTGGCTTTGGGTACAGGAGATACCAGCTCGGATGCTGTCAGACTATTCTGGAGCTGTAGCAGGTGCACCTCAAGTACCTCGAGTGCCATTTGGTGCCAGCACTGTATTCTGCATTGCTGAACAAAGGGCACTCTTGCTGCTTTGTCTAGATTTCTCTTGCTTTTCTTGAAAATTGAGTTGGTGGCAGTGTATCATTTTCTTGTCAAGGGGTCAGGATCTTTTAAATGTCTGCTTTCCCCTTATTCTCCATATTTTTCATATTTTTCTGGAGGAAGAGTCTAATCCTACTGGATATTTTGCAACCATCAGAGGTGGCAGTCCCAAATAATAATGTAGTCTAGACATGAGTCTAGAACCAGTGTTGTGGAAAGCTTACGTCTTGCTTCTGATTTCAAGGGAAATTGATAGAAGTTGCTGAGTGCAGCAATACGTACAGTTTCCACTTTTGAAGTTGTTTGCCTTCACAGTAATTTTTACTTGTGAACAGCTCCTATTAAGTGTTGAACAAAACATTTGACAAGAAGAATTTTAATGGATAATTTGATAAGAATTTGATAAGAATCGATTCTTATGCTGCTTACTCTTGTTGATGCTTTGAAAAGTTTTTGGTTTAACCTTATTTGATTAGCTTTTCCATGGGCAGCCACACACAGATGCCAGTGATGGGGTTCTCTAGATAGTTCTTGTTCGCTTATACATATAAATTGAATATTTGATGGAGGAGATGCTGTCATTCTTGGAGGTTTGCTTCCTTAGTATGTCAGGTTTTTGCAGCTTGGATGAATTTACTTACCTAAGAAGTGAAATCCAAAGCATGCCTGGCCTTTTGGCTCTGTTTCAGCCAGGAACAGGCAGTCATACAAGGAGTTGGGAGGGCACAGCTGACCCCAACTGACCCAAGGGAGATTCCATGCCATATGTCACCATGTTCAGCATATAGACCTGGGGAATGAAGAAGGAAAGGGGGGGGGGACATTCAGAGTGATGCGGTTTGTCTTCCCAATTCACTGTGATGCCTGAGGGAGCCCTGCTTTCCTGGGGATGGCTGATCACCTGTCTGCCCATGGGAAGTGGTGATTGAATTCCTTGTTTTGCTTTGCTTGTGTGTGCGGCTTTTTCTTTCCCTGTTACACTGTCTTTATCTGAACCAGAGTGTTCTCACTTTTACCACCCGAGGGGATAGTGAGCAAGGGGCAGTGTGAGACTTAGTTGCCATCTGGGGTTTAACCACAGCAACCATATTGATGCAACTGAAAGTCCTGCGGTCTGGATGACTATTTTGTAAGAACCCTTTCCTGCTGCTTTTCAGGACCTTGTTTCACAGGCTTCTTTTCTAAAATAAACCTGCTTCATATTTTAATTAATTCAAATATAATGTGAGCTGATCTCTTGATAGATAGTGTTTCAGTATTTATGCACTGATCTGTCACCAAATTCCACAAGAATCCAGGTGATACATTTCCATTTTTTAAAGGACACTGTCATGGTAGATAATGAATTTAAGGGTCACAACTTCTACAGACCTTTCACTTGCAACTGTGGCTGTTTGCTTCTGCAGTGCTACCCTGGAGTAATATCTTTCATTTCTGCCCTTCTCATCAGAAGGGTGAGTAAGATCCGAGCCTTAGAAGCTTTACAACATCCATAAAAATCCAAAGTTTCTTTCTAAAAGTGTTTCTTAATCTCACCTATGTGATGACCAGTATTTTGATGTCTGTGATCATCAACCTTTTTCTCATTGACAGATACTTACTTAATAGAATTGGAACAAAATCTCAAATCATACAGTCCTGTTACAGGCATGCAGCTCACTGTTTCTTCTGTTTTGGGGATTATCTGTCTAATCAGAACTGAAATTACTCATACAGAATAGCCACTACTGCTGAACATGCCTGTCTTCCTTTGGATCATTTGCTTATTCTGCACAACAGCTATGTGCAGATTAAATTAATTTGCTGTTTGAAGTATGGTCCCCTACTTGTTCCTTAACAATATTTTGTTTGAGGGAGTCCATCTTGTTTGATCTTTCTGACTGTGTTCTGACTGCTACTCTGTGTAGCTGATGCCCATCTCATCTACAACATGCCATCAAAAAATGTGTTTAGAGTCACTTTCAATCACAAAAAATGTTGAGTGCTTTTAAATATGGCAACCGTCCAGGCAAGTTCTCTCTTTAAAAAGAATAAATAAAATGTGGTCCTGTCTTGAGCTTTAATTTACTTCATGTGTTCTTTATTGCTCTAACAGAGTTCTGAAACCACCTTGCTATTAAGTCATACCATGTAGATAAATATTATATTGCCTCACTTTTGTATTACTTGGGCAAAATCATCATTTTAGTCTTCATGTACATAAGCTTATTGTCTTCTGATGGTAGTCAACATGGGTTGTTTTGGTCTGTTAATTTAATACAGTTTCTTCTAGATATTTTCTAGTTGAGTGACTAACTTTCTGGCCTATGTTGTTACTTTTTTTTTTGTCTTCAGAGTATTAAGTCATGATTTATTGCAACTATGGTAGTATTGTAAAACTTTCAGCCACTTGAGGCTTTAATCTCAGCTTTCCAGAACTATTAAGAACAAATCATTTGACCTTGCCATCCTGAGTATTTATTTCTAAAAATTTCTTAGTGATAAAGAAAACATCTCTACCACTTTTAGAGCATTAGAAAGTACTTAATTTTCTTCATAAAATATGTCATCTTAATTGTTTCCTAATGTAAAGGTAATTTTTTGATACCCAGTTAAAGTTAGTTATGTTTTGTGGTTGCTTTGGGCTATTTCCCCTGAAAAAAAAAATTAGTTACCTCTTTCCATTGTGGGATTGTAGCCTTTTGTTTGTTGGATAGATTCTTAAACACCTAATTTTCATTAAAACTTTCTTCTGTAAGACAACAGTTGTAATCAAAGTACTGTTTAGAGTATAGAAATTCTATTCTAAAGAAAAAGTAGGTAACTCTTTCACTCCCACTTTGCAAAAAAAAAAAAAAAAAAACTGGTTTGTTACCTTGCTATTCCTTAGGTCTCAAATATACTTGAAAGGAGTATGACAGTTGTTCAGCTTCTATTTAGTTGCAAAAATTCATTTTGTACATAGATAAGCCAGTGGTAGTGTAGGCAACTAATTGTGAAAATTTGCACTGCAGACTCTTTGTGCAAATCTAAAGTGACCTCACCCATAATTACAGTTATAAACTGATTAAATAATTATACACAGACTCATTGGTATCTTATTAACATATAAACACAATTTGTTTTCCTTTGTTTTCCTTTAGTTTCTCTTACAGAGACTATCTTCAAAATAGGGAAGAATACGGTTTAGATGGTACAATTTGGGGGAAAAACAAGCTAAAATATTGCAGATTTGTTAATTATTGCATGGGGTAGATGTTTAAACTGAAACTTGATGGAAACAGGACGCCTTTGCTCCTTTGATTTTCAAAATTGGAAGAAACTCAGAACCAAAGTTCTGTCAGTGCTCCTGATTTGAATATTTTGTTTTTCTAATATA